GGGGTCTTGAGTTTAATCTTCCTGTTTTCCTTGTATTGGATTAGTGTTCTTTTCTGTTAGCATTCGCCTCCCGGATACTGTTGTGATAGACTGCCTTTTCCTTTGCCATTTTGTTTTCGGTTTTAATTCGGTCACCAGCAGAGTCTATTGCTTATATGTCTTTTTTTTTCCTTTTTGGGTCACACCCGGCAATGCACAGGGGTTACTCCTGGCTCCGCGCTCAGGAATTACTCCTGGCGGTGCTCAGGGGACCCTATGGGATGCTGGGAATTGAACCCGGGTCGGCCGCGTGCAAGGCAAACGCCCTACCCGCTGTGCTATCGCTCCAGCCCCTTAGATGTCTGTTTAGCGCAACAAATGCAATAGGATGTTAAGCCCCTTGATACTTAATTTTTGGTGGTCCTCGGTATCAAATTGGGCCTCATACAGGCAAGGTCAGTGCTCCACTCCTGGGCCACATCTCCAGCCCCTTTCCTCGTTTCTTTGTTTTATTTGGGGGCCGCACTCTGGTGCTCGGAAGCTCTGTGGGGGGAACCCTGCGCTCAGGGGTGGCTGTCTGTGCTGGGGACCCATCACTGCATCCCGCCTGCGTTGCCTGCCGTCAACCCAGCGAGCTCTCTCTGACCCCCTTAGAGTCATTTTAAACATACACAATCAAAGCATCCTAAGTTAAAATTTGTCTTTTTTACTTAAATTGTTTCTTTTTTTTCTATTTGAGGACTTTCCTCAGATTGATATTTGCTTGTTGATATTACTCATTTTTAGTGAATAGTCTATATGCTAAAATATCTTTTTTTTTAATTTTTAAATTTTTATTAGTGAGACATCATGAGGTACAGTTGCAGACTTGCACATTTTTGTGCTTGGGTTTCAATTATACAATGATCAAATACCCATCCCTCCACCAGTGCCCATTTCCCACCACCACGGATCCCGGTATCCCTCCCACCCCCCATCCCCCCATCCCACCCTGCCTCATATGTATTTATTTGGTGGTTGCTCTTAATTTTTAGTATAGCAAATATATTGCAAAAACCTTATTTCTTAGAAATTTTAGATGTTGCTTATGTGATAAAAAAAATGAATATAGTTTCCGTATGCTGCACATCCAGTTTCCCTTATTAGGATTCTGCATTAGCAGTAATGAACCAGTATTAACGCATCGTTATTAACTGCAGTTCCTACTGTAATGGGATTTCTTAGTGTATTTTTAGGTTTTATCCAAATTTCTTTTCCTGTTCCAACGTCAATACAGTGTGCTATATGACTTTTCATAATTAATTTTCTAAGTATCTTCTTGGCTGTGCTCACGTCACACTTCCTTTGTTTCTGAGGGCCGTTAACAGTTGTGAGGAGTACTGGTCTGAGATTCTGTAGTATGCTCTTTAATTGTATTTGTTGGATTTTTTTCATAACTCTCATTATGTGTGCTACTTCTCCTCACATCATATCAGGGGTGCAAACTGCCAGCCTGACTCAGCCCCACTGATGTGGTCCTTGACGATCTGCCTGATGTCCTGTTCACCAGCTTTCTCCATTATAACATCACTTTTGCTCCTCTTTCATATTTTTTTTTATCTCTTTCTCTGAGATAATGTTTTCTACGTAGTATATATTTCAGGGTATACTTTTGCACTTCTCTTCAAAAGCAGTTTTTCAAAGGAGGGGGAGGAGGGAAGGGAGCATGAGATAATGACTGGGGGAACTGGAATCAAGGTACCATGCTCTGAACAATAAGAGCATCATATAAGCTATGGTGCGTCAATAGAACATACTTATAAAAGGAGTTTGTCATATGATGGTCCCTACCAAAGTGCTAGTGTGTCTTCAGCTTTCCTCTCCGTTGTGCCCTGGATCCTTCCCTCTCTGTCAGGGACGGTTCTGGGAGAATCAGATTCCAAGAGTTAGCTCTGGATGAACTTTGCCTTTCTTTGGTTTCTTTTTACCTCACCTCTGAGTGAGATCACCTGAGGTTGGTCTTTTCTCTTCTGATTCGACTCGCCCTAGACCCATCTGTGTTGTAGCAAGACGCAGCTCAGTCTTTTCTCATAGCTGAGTAGTATTCCACTGTGAAAAGATGCCTCTGTTTTTCAGCCATTCATCTGTCACTGAACACTTGTGTTGTTTTCGGGTCTTGGCTGTTGCACGCGGTGCAGCAGTGAAGACGGGAGTACTCGCATTCTTTTGAATTAGAACTTTATGTTGTTTAGACAGATGTCTAGGGAAGACAGCCCTGGACCATAGAGTAATACTATTTATTAGTATTTTAAGAAAGCTTGGGATGTTTTCTATAGGAGCTGGACTGGTTTACCCCTCTGCCAGCATGTATGAGGGAGGTCTTCAATGGTGATGGGTCATTGTCATTTTGATTTACATCTCCTGAACAGTAAGTGAGGCTGGGGAATATTTTTTCTCATGTGCCTGTTGGACATCTGTGTTCTTTGAAGGAGTGTTTGTCTCTACTGCTTATTTCTTTGTGAGCTTGATTTTTGTTGTTGTTGATTTCTATGAGTTATTCATATACCTTGAATAGTGGCCTCCTGTTGGATTGCTGTTACCTTTGGAAGGAAGTCATTATGCATGGCCAGCGCTGATGTAGTAGGGAGACACACTTCACCTCCTTGAGGAAGAAATGTCTCCGTAAGTTAACTTGAATCCTTCTGTACACGCTGATGTTTGTTCTTTTTTTTAATCAACATGATTTTGTGTCTCTTTGGTACTTTGGGTGAGAATCAAGTACTACTTACCGTTCAAATTGCCCCAGTGTTAGCCACTGTGCACTTTTCAGTTAACCCGTGGTCCCTTTCATGGATCCCTGCCAGTGTGTGGGGTCTGTTGCTAAATTTTTTTATTATTTATTTTTTTAATTAATTATTTATTTTTAATAACGTAGGAGTGTGTGGGGCTGGAGCTATAGCACAGTGGATAGAGCGTTCTCCTTGCATGTGACCGACCTGGTCGACCCGAGTTCGATTCCTCCGCCCCTCTCGGAGAGCCCGGCAAGCTACCGAGACTATCTCTCCCACACAGCAAAGCCTGGCAAGCTACCCGTGACGTATTTGCTATGCCAAACACAGTAACAACAAATCTCACAATTGAGACGTTACTGGGCCCACTCCAGCAAATCGATGAACAATGGGAGGACAGTGCTACTAGAGGAGTGTGTGGGGTTTGTTCAGTGCACCGTGAGATGCTGCAAGCTCATCTCAGATATTTCCTGCCCATTGTGGAATTAGTTTTTACCTCCAAGAAACTTCCTTTTATTGGAGAATGATATTTAGAATGATCCAGATACTAGGTATGCTCATTGATCCTGGGGCATTATTTCTTCTGGGTCGTCTTAGGTGACAGAACGAAAGTGTCTGTATCTATATCTGTATAGTAGCCCCCGTATGTACATGGATCTGTAAGCATTTTTTTTTTGCTTTTTTGGGTCACACCCGGCGATGCACAGGGGTTACTTCTGGCTCTGCACTCAGGAATTACCCCTGGCGGAGCTCAGGGGACCATATGGGATGCTGGGAATTGAACCCGGGTCGGCCGTGTGCAAGGCAAACGCCCTACCCGCTGTGCTATTGCTCCAGCCCCTGGATCTGTAAGCATTTTTTGTAATCATCTGTGTCTGCGACTCTTACAAGGATCTTCAACTCTGCTCAGTTAACCACATGGATAATTCCTATCTTCCCCTCTTCTCCAGAAGCAAGAAACTTGGCTTTTATAATCAACCATCCCGTTGCTTAATTTGTTCAATTCCAGTATATGCACCTAATGGTTTGCTTGAGAATTCATAATGGCTTCACCCCCCAGAGGGAATGAGAGCTGTCGAGGTTAAAGGCAAACAGTGTTGGACACATAGGCCTCCTTCTGAAGGTAGCTGCTTTCGTGAGAACGTTTACCACAAGCCCTTCAGCTATGTGTGACTGATCACAGCTACTCATCACGGTGCAAGGACTGGGGTAGAGGCAAGTTAGGGACAAGTACCCTTGATTGACAAGAGGCAGAGCAGCCTGTGTGCTACCTGTATGGGTGAGAGAACTCCTCTCCGAATCAGCTACGCTTAGAAACCAATCTGCCCTCTTATAGACGTCGCACTCTGAAGACTTTCATGGTAAGATTATACTTCATGCACCGTGCAGTTCTTTGAACCTTCTAGGCATTGGAGACTGTTTCATTTTTCAGTTTCGGTGGGAGTAAGTTGTTTGTGGAAGGGTTCAACTCAGTAAATATGTGGGTGCTTCAGCTGATATCCTTGGCATTTCCTTCATGATGCGAAAGCGATAGAGGGTCGTTACTAGAATGCTGCTTTTTCTGGGGAACATAAAGTAACAAAATGGGAGACTAACACCCAGGAGTGGCCGAGATTAGTACCAGGAATTTTGCTCCATGACTTGGAGGCCAGCCACACGTGCTAGGGGAAAAGGAAGCTCAGAGAAGGGAGCACCAAATAAAGGGTGTTGGGAGGATCCTCCCAGGGTGGGAGAAGCATGCTGAAAGTAGACTATAGATCAAACATGATTGCCACTCAGTGCCACTCTTGCAAACCACAGGACCCAAAAGGAGAGAAGAGAATAAAAGGGAATGCCCTGCCACAGAGGCAGGGTGGGATGGGAGGGATGGGGGGTGGGAGGGATGCTGGGATCCGTGGTGGTGGAGGATGGGCGCTGGTGGAGGGATGGGTACTTGATCATTGTATAACTGAAACCCAAGCACAAAAATTTGTAAGACTATAACTGTACCTCATGGTGTTTCACTAATAAAAAAATAAATAAATATAAAATAAATAAAGGAAGATACAGAAAAAAAAAGAAAGAATGCTGCTTTCATGCAGATAGCCAAGTACTTCATTTGATTCCAAATCTGATAGCGGGAAGGGCACGGAAACTTTGGGGCTTATACACATAGAGGGGTGTGAAGTTGCACCCCCTGACTTCAGATAGTACTGGAAACCAAAGACACAGCAGCATTTTCTTTAAAGAACTGTTTTCTTTTTGGATTTTTAGCATCTGCGGACTCCAGTGATGACTTCAGGTCCAGGAATGCAGTGAAGGGCCCCTCTTCCGTGAGGCGTGAGTAGTAAATGAAATACAGCCCTCTAAAGCCAGCAGCAGGACCGTGTGCTCCCTCCTCAGAAGACGCACTCCAGGAAAGTGATGTGCAGTGCACTCGGACCGCTGAAACATGGTTTTCATAAATTCCATTATTTCCATGGAAATCTGAATATTTACAACACTTTGCCTCCTTTGTGGAGAATACCCAACAAAATACAATCGCTAATACAGCCTTTTCTCTGGCTCCGATGATAATTCTTCTGGCTGGAGTCTGCACGCCCCAGCCTCTTAATATCTCCCTTAAAATATTTTCCTGCATCGTCCTGTCTGTTTTTGTTTTGGGTATTTGGGGGAGGGGTTCCCCAAGCAGTTCGTAGGAGACTCTGGGCCAGCGGTTGGGTGTGAAGGCGCGAGGGGGCAGTCCTGTTCAGCCCCCGAGATGCTCGCCACTCCCTGTGCCACCGCGGCTGCCAGGGCCTCCTAGGAAGTGCTCAGGGACCCATGTGCTGCTGGGGATCTAATCAGGATTCACTGTGTGCAGGACAAGAAGCTTCACCCTGTACTCTTTCTCTGTACGGCCTTTCCTTAAAACGGTATCTGCATGGAATCTCCCCAGTGCCAAGAGGGAGCGTCATTTTCTATTCTTATTTTTCTTTTTTGCTTTTTGGGTCCATCTGGCGATGCTCAGGGCTTACTCCTGACCCATGCACTCAGGAATTCCTCTTGGCAGTGCTCGGGGGACCCTATGGGATGCTGGGAATCAAACTTGGATTGGCCGCCTGAAAGGCAAATTCCCTCCCCGCTGTGCTGTCGCTCCAACCCCCTCTATTCTAATTTTTAAAATAGGTAAACTGCAGTTCTTCTTGTCAGACACCCGAGTGCTTATAAAGTCAAGTTCTCCCTTCATTCCCCCATGTCCTACAGTGCCCCTCTCCCGTGCCGGGAGGAACTGGCTGCGCCTGATTTCAGCGCCTGAGCCTTTCCACACATGAGGCGGGTGATGTTGTGTTTTACAAAGCAGGGGTGGCATCTGAGTCGGGTCCTACACGAATTATGCCTGCACTGGAATTTGTCACTGAATCTGTATTGGTGGGCTGACGGAATGTGTCTCTTGTGATGTGCTGTGAGGCTGCCACTGGAACACAGCACCTCCGGGCTTGGCTTCAACCCCCGGAAGTCAGTCCCCGGACCAAGGTGCAAGCAGGCCCATGGCTCTCCCCTGGAGACTCCCAGGGAGACTGCTGCATCCGTTACACTTTGGTGTCCTTGCAACAGCTGCTTCTGGCCTCAGTTGGCCTGTGTGTCTTCTCTTCTGTCACTGCTAAGGGCATCTTGACCCATTGAGGTCTCACCTGGGTCAGCCGTACAGCTTTCATCTCGAGATCCTTAACTCTTTCCAAATAAGGCCACTTTCACTGGTGCTAGCGATGAGGACTTGGCTAGCTCTTTGGGGGAAGGGGGTACCCTAGTGCATTATTGATGGATCTGTGTATCAGTGTACATGTCCGGATATTTGTGTTTGGGAAGAAGTCCATATCTCATGCTGCAGACATCACAGTGACATGGCTTTGGCCCTGGGTAATGATGCCATTTCCATACTGGAAGCCATGAGCTTGTTTTACAGTTACAAATAGGGTGTCGGTGAACATCATTTGTTTCATTCTGTGGCCACACACTGCTGTGCTTAGGGCTTGCTCCAAGATCTGTGCTCAGGGATTCCTCCCGACAGTGCTCGGGGAACTGTATGTAGCGTGGGAGATCGAACCCAGGTCCATTGCATCCAGGCAAGCTCCTTAACCTGCTGCAGTATCTCTCTGGCTCTTGGGGACCATTATTGTCCATGTCCTTTGTGCACAGCTACAAAATGGAGCTGCCAGGCCAAAAGGTGTGCGTTGTATTTAAGCAGCGTCTGCCACATTCTTTCCAAAATGAGTGTGTCATTATATACGTCTAGCAATGCTGCTAGAAAATAGCATTTTTCCCAGCCTCAGTCGCTTACTGTACACTTACCTGATTATGGCGGAGCATTGTTTCACACAGACAGCTTTCTCTTTTTTTAATTTTTATTAGTGAGATATTATGAGGTACAGTTGTAGACTTACAAATTTTCGTGCTTGAGTTTCAGTTATGCAATGATCAAATACCCATCCCTCCACCAGTGCCCATTTCCCACCACCACGGATCCCAGTATCCCTCCCAACCCCCCCATCCCCCCCTGCCTCTGTGGCAGGACATTCCCTTTTGTTCTCTCTCTCCTTTTGGGTGCTGTGGTTTGCAAAAGAGGCATTGAGTGGCAATCATGTTTGGTCTATAGTCTACTTTCAGCATGCTTCTCCCATCCTGGGAGGATCCTCCCAACACCCTTTATTTGGTGCTCCCTTCTCTACATGAGCTCCCTTTTCCCCTAGCACGTGTGGCTGGCCTCCAAGTCACGGTCACGGTCTTCCCATTGTTTATTGATTTGCTCGAGTGGTCCCAGTAACGTCTCCTTCGTGAGACTTGTTGTTACTGTGTTTGGCATATCGAATACATCGCGGGTAGCTTGCCAGGCTCTGCCGTGTGGGCGAGATGCTCTCAGTAGCTTGCCGGGCTCTCCAAGTCATGGAGCAAAATTCCTGATACTTATCTCGGCCATTCTTGGGTGTTAGTCTCCTATTTTGTTACTTTATGTTCCCCAGATGACTGCAATCTTTCTATGTCTATCCCTCTCTTTCTGACTCATTTCGCTTAACATGATACTTTCCATGTAATACCACTTGTATGTAAATTTCATGACTTCGTCTTTTCTAACAGCTACACAGGACTCCATTGTGTAAATGTACCAAAGTTTCTTTAACCAGACAGACATCTTTCTTAACAAATAATAGAGTTGCGTTCAAATAAGCCCATCATAGGTTGAAACTATCACAAGTCAAAAAATGTCCTTAAGGGGCTGGAGTATAGTGGGATAGGCCCCAGCTTTGTGCACAGCTGATCCAGGTTCAATCCCCGGTTCCTCACACCTTGCCAGGACTTATCCCTGAGCACAGAGCCAAGAGTAAACCCTGAGCACTGCTGGATATGCCCCTCCCAATGCACTTAATACAGGTAACCGACCGACCATCAGAGCTCAGCCTAGCCCACTTTCAGTGTACTCCTGCTACTAATTCGACTGCAACTGAACACAGCCCCTTAAGACAAAGCCTGCTTTGTAACCAAGTGTCAAATCTCTTGTGTAATTTATTGACTATGGTGGAGTATCGATTGCCCTCGCTCTCCCTCGCAGGGCTGCCTGGGACTGCGGCTTGCTGCTGTGGCCCAGCCTCACTGCATAGTGCTAGCCTGGGCGAAGCAGCTCACAGTTCACAATTGGAAGTACAGTTCCTACTGAATGTGTCTCGCCTTTACACCATCGTAAAGTCAGAATCATAAGTCAAAGCACCGTAAGTTAGGAACCATCTGTATCCGTTGGCCATTTGCATTTTGCTCCTCTGGTAAATCATTTTTATCCTTTCCAGTTTCCAGCTGGGTTGATTGTCTTTTTTTTATGGATTCCTAAGATCTCTGTCTATTCTGCATTGAGAAAGGCAAAGACTCCCTCCATGAGCCCTGCCACTGTCACTTAACTAAATGTCATCTGGCGAGACTTACCTGGCTTTAGTACTTGGCTCAAGTTGAGTCAGAAAACATCAGTCATTGTAGTTGGCCACTTTGACTGTAGCTGGTCTCTGGTGTGCGTGTCAGCTGAGAGGCTGGAGCCATAGCACAGCGGGTAGGGCGATTGCCTCGCACGTGGCCGACCCAGGTTCGATTCCCAGCATCCCATATGGTCCCCCAAGCACCACCAGGAGTAATTCCTGAGTGCAGAGCCAGGAGTAACCCCTGTGCATCGCCGGGTGTGACCCAAAAGGCAAAAAAAAAAAGTCAGCCAAACACTGGAAATGTACACCTGCTTCACTCGATGAACAGACTTAATAAAATTCCTACTTAAAATTTACCAAGAATTATTGTAGAAATGGACAGAATGATCCTCAGATTCATACTCACAGTATCAGGAATAACTGAGACATGAATACTTCCCAGTTCCACAACTTACTTACAAATGGTCAAGAATCAGGATAGTCTATGACTACATAATTTTTAGACTTCAGACTTCAGAGGCTAGAATTGAGAATTTAGAAATAAACTCATTATATCTGTGGTTAGTTGACTTATAAAAAGGCACTAAACCATTCAGAGTGGGGGGAAGGATAGTTTTATTTTTTAACTAAATACTTCTGAGAAAACTGGCTATGTACTTGCGAAAGAAGAAAGTTGGATCTCTGTCTCACATCAAATACCAATGATCACGATCACGATCATCCTGTTGTTCGTTGATTGCCTCGAGCAGGCCTCAGTAACGTCTCCTTCGTCCTAGCCTTGAGATTCTAAAAAGTGCCACATTCAAGGTTCTTTCAGGGTTAGGAGAATGAGACCCATCATTGTTACTGGTATTTGGCACATTGGCTACACCAAACTTCACTTCACTGTCCTCCCGTTGTTCGTCGATTTGCTCGAGCGGGCCAGTAACATCTCCATTGGAGACTTTGTTGTTACTGTGTCTGGCATATCCAATACGTCACGGGGAGCTTGCCAGGCTCTGCAGTGCGGGCGAGATACTCTCGGTAGCTTGCCGGGCTCTCCGAGAGGGGCGGAGGAATTGAACTCGGGTCGGCCATGTTGGCTGCGTGCAAGGCAACCGCCCTACCGCTGTGCTATCGCTCCAGCCCTGGGTACACCAAAATTAAGTCAAATGAACCTGTACCTAAAACTAAAAGTCTCTTAGAATCCTGGTGTGTGTGTGTGTGTGTGTGTGTGTGTGTGTGTGTATAAGGTGAAAAGTGACAGCTTAAGCTATTTTCATGAGCAGCTACATAGCTCTGTGCACTGACTGTAGGGAGCCTTTTTGATTCCTAGGAACATTAATGCATTTTATTAGCCATGGCATTTTTTTTCCAGGACGAGAGTGCTAAGCAGTGCTCAGGGACCCAGAGGGCCAC